TATGGATTAGCTGACAGAAGAGAGAAAGTCTTTTCCTTTTCAGCCTGACAGCTTGATGGTAAAATGTTACCCAAGTATGTCATGTCTGTTTCGAATCAAGTATTGAAGAAAGGAGCCCCTCTCTTAGAAATAACACATTGTAATTAAGAGCAGAACATTCTTTTTCTGATCGTTCAGTTTGGGGAATGAGGCATGGTGAGAGAGCCCTGTGGGAATTGACCTAATATGAACGCAAAACCACCGAGAAGCCCTGAACGGTGGCACATCCTCTGGAAAGACTGAAGTGGTGAAAGATATTCCTTTATATTGTATTTTAGTTGGCTTTCCCAAGTCCATCTAGCTTTTGCCTTTATTCCACTTAGTTTGAAAGAAACAAGTCAATGTTGCCAGTTCTTTTACAATTCCTTACTCAAAGCAAAAACATGGAAATGAGCATTCTTGAAGCCCAGTTCTTGGTTTAGCCACTTTCTCCATGGAGTCAGAGGGAAAACTCAAGTCTCCAAGCAGGGTTACCACCTGTAAAAAGGATGCATCAGGATTTGAAAGAATAATTAGATGTGCATGGAATAGAAATCTATTGGACATGAGTGTGCAGCTATTAATGAAAGAACTTTTACTGTTTGGGGTTCTTAAAACTGTTTACTAGTAAATTGCCATTTGACCGTGGGTTCGTAGCACATTGCCTGTATTAATGATACAGCTCGCTGTAGAGACTTGTGGTTGGTGTCCAGTTTAGTGCCGGGTAGTACATCCCCATTCCTGTACTTGGAGAAGGAAATGGCAACCGACTCATATTCTTGCCTGAAGAAATTCCATGGACAGAGGAGCCTGGCAGGCTCTAGTCCGTGGGATTGCAAAGAGTTGGACATGACTGAGTGATACTGGTGTGGAATTGGGTAAACCCATATCTGAAGCCCATAGAGAAGTATGAGCTGGAGATAAAATCTTAAGAGAAATCTCCTAAGGATGACAGTTAAAACTTGGCATTAGCCACAGTTATCCAGAGTGTGCGCATTTAGAAAGCATTGGTTCAAATATGAAGCTGTAGACAAGTCCATCAGTTGTGGAGCAGATAGAGGAAGTTCCAGAAGCTGGCCGAATCACTCCTGTTATCTCCTCCATAACTGAGACGTCAGGGGAATAAATGTAAAAGATTAGGAGGGAAGTTTGGGGGAGAGTTGATAGATGTATATACATGGCTGAGTCCCTTTGCTGTCCGCCTAAAACTGTTACAACATTGTTAATCAGCTGTGTGCATGCATGCGTTCGTGCTAAGTCCCTTCAGTCATGTCTGACTCTTTTCGACCCTGTGGACTGTAGCCCACCAGGCTCCTCTGTCCATGGGATTCTCCAGGCAAGAATACTAGAGAAGCTTGCCATTTTCTCCTCCAGGGGGGTCTTCCTGACCCAGGGATCAAACTCATGTCTCCTGTCTTCTGCATTGCAGGCAGATTCTTTACCCGCTGAGACATCTTCTAGACTATTATTGCATTATATTACATATCACATAATTGTATTTGCATATTATTATACATTTCATTTTATGTTACATATAATAATAAAGTGAGATAACAAAATAAAAGAGTGGGAATAGTCAACTGTGTCCGTTGCAGCTGAGAGGACTTTTAAGATAAAGTCTGAAGACCCTCCGCCGCTTGATGCCAAAGGGTTAGTCCGCTTAAGGCAAATGTTGGAAGAACTGTCACGTGACTTACTTTGTGTCCCTGCCAGAGGGTAGAACCATACTCAGAATGGCAGCAGAAATTAGACCGTCTCACAGAGATATGAAGAGGAATTCTTTCCTTGGGAAAGAACTTACCTATAAAGCTTCTTAACTCTTCTGGAAATCTAAGATTCTGCTATGCTAACTCATGTTAAGGTTGCCCAAATTTGAATAATTGGCAACAGGGCTTGAATATTAAGATTTTTAACTCTGCTCTTTAGGGATCTTTCCTTAGTTAGAAGTGGTAACTTCTTTTTGTTGTATACTTTTAAATGGTTATGCAAGCCAATTTAGGTGCCCAAAGGAACATGCCCCCTTTCATATACACACGCTCAGCCAAAGCAGCAGCGTATAAATAAGCTATACTCATCTAGTTAGCATTTCACTTTGCTTTTTTGACTTTTAATTCAGACTAAACATTAATATAAGAAGTTTTGATAATAACCCCTGAACTTCATCCTTTTTAGAAGGTAATGTAGCTCTCTTCCTGTAGGGTAACCATAGCAACTGACAAGGAACAGAGAAAGAAAGCTTTCACACATGCTGTGCTAATTAATCCTATCCTACAGATTTCCTTCAGCTGGAGGATACAGTTTAATAAATTTTGCATGAGTAAGCCTGTTTTGATGCTTGAACTATATAAATACATAGGAGTATCTTTACTAAAAATATTTACTTTAAAATGTGGTTGTGTATTTCTGCTTCAAGGTGTGCTTTTTTTTTCCTTTTGAATCATTGATTTAATAATTTGCTCCCTCTCTGAAAAGTATGGGGATTTATTTATCTCTTTAACTGAACAGAAATATTTTTAAGGTGTAAAACTTTTGTTTAACAATATACAAGACATTTGCTCCAAGAATATGTTTTAATTGACTCTATGATATAGTGAGATGTGAGTTTTTCTCAAGTGATGCAGGAGAGTGTATCTTAAAAATATCATAACATTATTCAGTATAACACATTTACAGGCGAACCGTTTTGAGAAACTGTCTTAACACATTGAAGAGTTAGGATACGGAAAACTCACTTTCCCTGATGATTTGGGAAGTTATATGACCCATGTGAATGGAGTTTGGGCGGTCCTTGACCTAAACTTGGGGCTTCCCTGGTGGCTCAGAAGATAAAGAATCTGCCTGCCAATGCAGGAGACCTGGGTTTGATCTTTGGGTTGGGAAGATCCCCTGGAGGAGGGCATGGCAACCGACTCCAGTATTCTTGCCTGGAGAATCCCATGGACAGAGGAGCCTGGCGGGCTACAGTCCATGGGGTCACAAAGAGTCAGATATGACCAAGTGACTAAGCAATCACAGTTGACCTAAACTTGAGATGGAGAAAAATAAATGTAGACAAAGAGCCTTTTCTGTTTCTGTTTTTTTCAGAACTATTTAATAAGTTTTACAAACTTATATCCAGAGTGAGCATAATTGACTTGGAGTCATACATCATTATTTAGATTTATACTGCTAGGTTATTTTGAGGTCTGGTTCTCTCTTTAAAAATGGGAATATCACAGTTTTCTATAACCAGTGTGGTCTGAGCTGTCAAAGAAAATCTCTGATTTTTAAATGTTCCTATCCCTCTGGCCTAGCTTTCTGTCAGCAGGGCTTTGGCAAAACCAAGAAAACCCAGCCTGAATATTTTTGGCATCCCATTTGCCTTGACAACAGCATATGGAGCAAGTCAGAACTGATTTGGGGACTTAGGCTTAGCTCCTTGATCTGTATAGAAACATGCTCATTTGAGGAAGGAAGCCCTTTGATGGTATTATGAAACTCTGGGAACACTTTAACGCCCTGTTGCTTTATCTGTTGTTCAGTTTTGCCTGCTTTGAGGTAGGACAACACCTTGCAGAAAAAAGGAGAAGAGGTTATTATGGAAGTCTATTTTCAGAGGTAGTTATTCCATTTGTGTGCAGAAAAGTTAGAGACCATATATGTGTATGTATGTTTGAGTGTATCAAATCTGTGCCCTTTAATATGGAATACTTACAACACTAGTCAATTTATAATATGCCATTGTGTTGTTATAAAAACTGTATGGTAGGGAAAAATGAATTATTGTGACCAAATTGAATTAATTAGAAATTCTTCATCTTACCAGCTACCCTGTTAATTTTAATATTTACATATAATACAATAAAGGAAATGCCATTAAAAAGTGTTGAGTAAACAAAAAAAGGTAATGTTCCTAAGTATTACATAAAAACTTAAATAATCAAAACATTAAAATGAATATATTATGGTCGGTTCACTGTAAAAATGTTTATTTGCTTAGAGCATCACGGTAATAAATAAAACTTTACTCTCATCACTAAAGAACATACACAGAGAGAGAGCTATCATACAGTTTTTTTTTCTAAAAATAATATCTATAATTTGTGATTTTTAAAGGAATTATATATTCATTGTATAAAACTTGGGGAAAAAATCAGAAAATGTATTAAATTTAAAAAATAAATATTTGTATATTCAGAACTAACCATTGAAGATATTGAAATATATTTTTTAATGGTCTTTTTCCAGTGCCTAAGTATTTATGATTGTGAGGTCAAACTGCATAATTTATCACTTGATATATTATTTTGACCACTTTCCCAATTTCTTAGAAAACTTTCATTTTGCTACATGATATCTCATCTCTGTGTACCAGATTTATTAACTATTCCTTTATAATTATTTAGTTATGTGTTTCAAATGACACTCCTGAATAAGCATTTCTTAGTGTTTGATAAAACACTGAAACCAAAAGATATTTTGGAAAAAACCTTTGAGAAAAGAGTCATACTCTCTTCTTTCGGATTCATAATACATGTTAGAAAAAATTAAGGGCACTGAGAAGTCTCACAGTATACAGACCTGTTTTACTTTTTAAACCATCTCTTCTCAAAGTTATTCAGTCTTGGAACTTTTTCTTATAATACTTATTTTTAACTGTCAGAAGCAAAGTACCATGAAACCATCTTCGGAATGCCAGGAGATTTCTAAGCTTCTGTATAATATCTAATAGTTTATGAATCATTTGTTTACTCTTTTGGGATTTTTTTTTAGGTTCTTAGTGCTTTATTAGGAAATATAAAGGATTTATTGGTTATTAGAATGTATTTGAAACAGGTAGACCAGAATATGCTTTTCCCAACCTTTTGTATAACTTTGACATTGCATTCATGAGTCTGTATTATAATATCACGTTTGACCTTTTAAAACTGTGAACATCCAAATTTAAATTACTTTGATCATTAATGTCTGTTAAACTTCTTTATGTTCCCTGAAACCCACAGGTCTTGCAAGAGCAAAATCCGTCCCTAGCCACACATACTCCAATGAAGTGGTTACCTTGTGGTACAGACCTCCAGATGTCCTCTTGGGCTCGACAGAATATTCCACCTGCCTTGACATGTGGTGAGAAATGGAGCTTTGTTCTAGCTAATTTATCCGTGGGGCTTGGTCTGGGTCAAGCCTAGACAAACATCCTAACAGGCTGAATGAAGATTAATGGTACTGGAGCGTTTGCCTGTGTGTGGCAATACCGCTGGAGTTTCTGAAAACATAATTGGGAATGTTCCCTAATCAGGGGCTCTCTTACAGATGGTGTCTGGTAATGGTTCTTGATGGACAAGGGCAGAGACATTTTTCTAGCTATCAGTTCAGTGATTTTCGCCCTTACGGTCTTAATTTGTGGCTTTGTTTTATAACAAGGGAGTATATATCTCCAAACAGCAGTATGAGTTGGAAGTAGTAGAAGCGTGTTTAAATTCACAGCAAAATTCAGATAAATGGTCTGAACATTTTGCTATAACTATAAGGTACTAAATTTGGTATAGTATAACCCTGAAAACTGTTGGTGCCAATTATTCAAGATGAAATAGAACAATCACTTTTTTTTAAATGTCAGAGTAAGGTTAATTCCAGTAGAGTCACAGTTCTGCACAATGGCTTAGCATAACTTAAAAATCTGTTATAGGAGGCCCAAAGACCAGTGAGATTTAATGTATGATTATTATTAATGATGAACTTTAATGAGTTTCCAGTCTAGTATGATCTAGTTCAAATAAGGAAATAATCTTCTTTTTAGCTACCAGGGAAGGCTTAATAGTGAATGTTAAAAATGTTATTTATTAATAGAAAAATTCCTTTTCTAGACTCATAGTTGTGTTTAAAGTAAAACAGTTCATATAACACATAGTGTTTTAATAGCAGAAATCCTCTTCCATGAATGATGATGCCCCACATAGAGAATTCAGCTGCATGTTCACATAATGTTTATGACCTCAATAAAGCTGCAGCATGTGTCATTTATCTTGTTGCCATGTAGTTACTTCACCGCTCTACCCTTGGTAATCTTGGCTTTTAGTTAATTAGGCTGTGATGTGGCCTGGCTGTCTTCCCTGATGTTTCTGACCCAGACACCTATGGGGAGAAAACAATGAAGTTTCTTGTGATGTAAGGCAAACAGTATAGGTTTACTTAATTTAGATTCCAGCAACTCCCTTAGACGTGGGATTTGGGGATCTGTGAAGCCACTGGAAATCTGTGCAACATTTCGTGTACACATGGGTATATTTATTTTTAAGAGGTGTAGATCTCTAGCTTTCAGTAGAGCTATAAAAGAATCTGGGTCATCAAACAGCCTAAGATCTATTGCCATAGATTTTGTCATGCCTTATAATAAATCTAATACCATTGTAAATGCATGCTCTGAAACACTGAGAATAGAGATGACCGACTATCATTAAGGACTCGAGCTAATCCATTTTTTACATCAAACTTCCTGGCTTTTTTTTTGTTTTTTTGATAATTGTTTACACAATTAGATGTTTGTTTGTTTGTTTTTCCCCCAAAGCTAAGCAGGGGCTTGAACAAAACAGCTATTTTGGTCATTACCTTTAATGGAGGAAAAGATTGGAAGTAAAGGTCAATGAATGCATCCATCTGAATATCAGTTACTGTCTCATTCCCTTCCTCCTTCCTGCCTTTATAGTTGCAAGTTGGCTATGCAAATAACCATTACTTAATATTCTTGAGTTAGGGAGTGTTTTCCTCCATTTTTTGAGAATAGAAATTCTAGATTGTCTTTCAATGAGGTCAGTCAAGGACTCTGCTAACAGAACATAGTTTGGAAACATTTGTGACTTGGAGCCAGTCTTGTCTTAGTTGCTTGGCAGGGCACTTCAGGCTCTACCCTTAGAATGGGGAGAAGCTATTTTTTTCCACACTAGTGGCTAATTTTTCCCAAAGCTTTGAAAGTGCTCTGTAAAGAGCAAAGAACTACATGGATTATGACTTGCTAATATATCTGTTTCTGGTGTAGTGTTTGATGTCCAGGCTGTGTCTTTCCAATGCTCCCAACCCCAGCCTTTCTTTCACATGTGTATGCCTGTTGTTATCCATCCTTTTAAGGAAGAAGGTTTGGTTGCTTTCTGCCAATTTGCTTTAAACAGAGACATAATGAAGCCTAAGAAGAAGATTGTAATTTAAGTGGAAGGGAGGAAAACTGATATGGAATAGTAGACCCCAATGCCCTTTTGTCTGCATGCCAAGATTATTCTTTGCCAAAAAAAACAAAAAATAAATGTGTTATGTTGGAGCACTTTCCCACAGTTATTGGCTGTTCATTTCTGAGTTATGTCTGTACTATGCCTGTCACTCTGAATCTGATTTCATTCCAAGCCGTTTTCTAACAGCCATTTTGTTGTTTTCCAGGTAAAATGTATGTATTTTTCCAGTCAGAGAAATGTTTACAGGGCACTGACTTTTGCGTCATCGGTGACCTTGATGGTGGGTGTTGAAAGATCTAGAAATGGGACTGTAGCTGAGTCTTGGCTCAGCTGCACCACAGAGCAGTGGAAATATTAACCCACAGACAACAGTGGGGAGGCAGGTGGCAGTGGTTTCAGGCCTGTTTTACAGTTCATTTACCATCCTGGGGCAACAGGGTAGTGACTAAAAACTAACGATCCCTACACAGTGTTACAGTTTCCAGTGTTCTGTTTAAATAGCTTCGGGCGATAAAAATATTAATGAAGACACTTATGCATTGACATTGGCAGCGAGTGATGGAAATCAGAGCTCTCCCGTTGGATTTACCACTCTAGGTCTCCAGCATGTTGGTGATGTATAGATGTACTGGGCAGTTTGAGAACTCATCAGGAAAGGTAGTTTTTGTTTCCTTGACTACCTCAATGAAGGAGGATTTAAAGCAGAGGAATCAAATTGGACTTTGTCTAGTGTATAACTTCCCTTAATTCTTGGATTTTATAATTCTTTGTTTAAGTCCAGGCATAGGAAATCATCTTTAAGCTTCTAAACCAAAAAGGCTTACCAAGTACTGAAAACCACGTTAAGAGAAGTGCAGATGTGCCAGTGAGCTTATCTGTGCAGTCCCTCCCTTGTCAAGGAGTTCTGCTCTAGCTGTCGAGGTCATTGCTCTGAATAAGCTTTATATTGCTTTATAGAAGCTCATAAATATATTTAGAGTGGCATTTGTTTTCTAAAGCAATAGGTCACTTGGGATTGTTTTAAGGGATTAATTTTTAACATAGGGTGACAAAATTATCTGTAGCTAATAAATATCTCATCAAGCTCATGTTGCTTTTGGGAGGGGCCACAGTATATAGTGGTACCACCTTGTGTCGATTCCATGCTCCCCAATAGCATGTCAGTCTCTCCTTTTCATCATCTTTTTCAAAGCTAATTAACATATTAACTATGCTTGTCAAAATGTGGGGCGAGTCATTTATAAATAAGCCTGTCAAATGTAATGAGATTGCATATTAAATCACCCTTTCTCTATTACATCTCTGAGTTAGGATTAAAATCAATTTATTTAACATTGTAGCAGCTGGGTGGTTAGAAAAAAATTTCCGTACTGATCTTGATATATAGAAAAATGTCTGCATCAAAATTGATTTTGCATATATCAGAAAAGAAATTGCCTATTTATTGAGTGTTATAAGGCCATTTAGCATTGCATTTTATTAAAGAAGCCTAATTACCATACATATTGGCAATATAGAGTTCTGCCCTCATCCTTAAGAATCTCTCCTGAACAAAGGATATTTATGTAATAAAGTTTCCTAAGGACTCAGGTTTGCTGACCAGTGTTTGAAGAGAAAGAATCATAAATGAATCCTACTGTAGTGCCCACCCAGAAAAGAAATGTGTTCCATGTGAGGTAATATCTTGAGTAATTGGCAAGTAGTAGTAATAATAATAATTGAGTCTTAGCATTAGTAATAACAAAGATAATAATAAGAGATACTTTTCTTGGACCCAAATAGTATTCTAAGCTCCTTTATACATTAAAAAAAAGAAATCTGCAGTGTTTATTTTGTCCTAATACTCTTTTTTTATAAACATTTACTAGAGTATGGTTGCTTGACAATGTTGTGTTGGTTTCTGCTATATGGCAAAGTGAATCAGCTACATGTGTATGTATATCCTCTTTTTGGGATTTCCTTCCCACTTAGGTCCCCACAGAGTCCGAGTTCCCTGCAGCTGCCCAGCAGGTTTCATTAGTTACCTATTTTATACATACTATCAATAGTGTATATATGTCAATCCCAATCTCCCAATTCATCCCCTGCCCCGCATAGTATCAATAGTGTATATATGTCAATCCCAATCTCCCAATTCATCCCCTGCCCCACCTCCCCATTGTATCTTTATGTTTGTTCTCTCTGTGTTTCTGTCTCTGCTTTGTAAATAAGATCTTCTGTACCTCTTATACATTTTAATTACTTACCTACTGTTCCATGATAAAGTGAAAGAAAGTAAAACCCAGAGAGACTAAATAGAATAATAAAAGTCATATATTTAGTAAATAGAGTCAGCATTCAAACTCAGAGCTAACCCACTCCAAAACCTTTTCTCCCTGAAACATATTACATAGTCTCCTAAGATGATTTATAAGCAATTGTTTTTTTCATTTTACTAACAAAGTTGATTCCAAAATACAAGTCAGTAAAATACCTCTTTGAGAACTTAGGTTATGCTCTGAGTCATGTTGGGTCCTTTGCATGCTTCAAACCAAGTGGATGGCTTGCCTCTCAATTTTATTCAGGATCTAGGTTCTTTGAAATAAACTTAAGACTTGACTCATTGGATTGGATACATTTTCGTGGGACCAATATCTATACTGGCAAGTATTTGCCCAACTCCTAACCAATACTCATTTACCACTTCTGCTAAAATGAATGTATCCATTTAAAAAAGAATGCTGGTAAAAATGAGAATTTTTCATGGGCTACATAAAGTCATCTAACTGTCCACATTATTTACACATTTTCTAATTAATCAGATCATAAGACCAAGGGGAATTTAAATTAGTCACTGTGCAAAGTAACATCTCTTTGAGAGCTCTTGAGAGCTGCTTAAATAATACATGATCCAAATGACTTACT